TAATGTCGTACATGAAAATCAAAAAAACTGTAAAACGAACGTGAATATTCGATACATAGAAAATCACAAAACGAAAACGACACGAAAATCACACAGTTGCCATATAAGATATTGTCAATTCATAAACTTCATAAATAGAAATATATTTTCAAAAGCAGTCGATACAACAACAAAATCTTTTAAGTTTTCTACAATCAAAAGGTGTAAAGTGAATCTTAATTGTCAAATTTTGCGTAGTAGGCAGACGGAAGTGTTTTTTTTGGTGAAAATGGACGACCATGGTATGATACCCTATGAAATATTTCAAAATATGATACGGGAATTATTTTTAATTATGAAACAAGGTTAGCAGATCCATTGAAAAATCAAATGAAAAAAATATAACTGTCAACATTTTATTTTCTTTTGCCCTAGCGCCGTTTACCAGAGTTTATATCTCTGAATATAATAGCTGGTATCCAGCTAAACTTATTTCATTCCAAGCAGGAATAAGGAAGGAAAGCGAAAATTCTTTATTCGAATCGTGGCCTTTTCTATCATTTGCAATGCTTTTAATTCACGAAAAGTAATTGAAAGATTTAATACTATTTATCCATGCATAAAAAGCTGATTGAGACTATCTTCTTCTTTTTCAACAGAAGAGTAGTAGAAGTGTATGCAGAAGATGTTCAAATATCTACGAATCATGTTAATCAGAGTGATTTTGTAAAGTTTGCCGATAACATTCACGAAATATTTAGAGACAAATTCTTAGGTGAAATGTTTATATTTTGTTTGGAATTGTGAAAATTGTTGTCATTTTGTTTTCTTTTTTATAGACAAAACCATATATTTAAATTCTGGAGATATTTTTCAGCTAAACGGTACATTTGATGGAGTTTACCCTCTACATGTCGTAATTGAGAGATTTTCCCAAAGTATATGTGAAATGGAATGTAAATTCTTTTTCAGGAGCATTCTTAATCCGTAATATAAAAAAAACTTTCTTCTAGTTTATATAACATCAGAATCAAAATAACTTGATGTATTTTCATTAACAGTCAAATAACGGGACATTTCCTGCCAAGCGGCATTCATAAACGTGATCTGTAAGAAGTGAGATAAAAATTACCTAATAAAGTCGTAGCATATTCATAATTCGAAGGAAAATTTGTGAAAATCGGTCATTTTCTGCAGTGAATTGAGAATTTCATAACCGCTTGAAATGTAATCTAAATATATTTAAAAAAAAAAAGAAAGTATGCATAAAGGTTTTTGGTTGATTTTATATTCAAGAATTTACTTAGACGAATAGAATTACTTGCATCCCATAACCAAGTTGCTGCTTAAATAATTCTGATATAAAAATTCATTTGGCCATATGGTTCGATCCAGTCCAAATAACGAGTGACTCTGGTATAAATTCCTGGGAAAGTTGTATTAACACAGAAAATCCCAAATGACACGACGCCTACAACCTTTGCAACCGGGCTGAATCCATTAAATTATCAGTCCACCACTGTTTTCTGTACAAGCGTCTCTTATTGTTTCCGGATCAAAAGGGATGTACCCTGTTAAATATTGGCCGTTCATTTATAAAATTTATCTGAATCGCTTTTTTCTATTTTTTGCACGCGAATTTGACTTCTCAATGTTATGAAATTAATAAAAATCATTATAATTTGTCAGCACGTTGTGCACGAAGTTGTTATACAATTCGTTATTTTGTGATTTACAGCTTCCGTGACCATAAATGAAGGCATCCGTTGTATATTGTAAGTAATATTCTTGAACATGTTTTTATTGTTCATCACATTTGCCATTGACACAACCAAAACCGATTTCTCTTAAAATTTGGAGTTGTGATAAGAAATTTGCTTGCTTCGTTTCGTGTGTCACAAGTTGAATTACGTTTAAAAATAAAAAGTAGCATCTATTGAAAACTTATTTTTGAGAGAGTTAAGAGATTATTTGAGGGGTTCCGAGGAAAAATGTTCAGGAGCTAAATGATATCATTTAGCAAAGCTAATTGGTACCAAATAGCTCTTCTAAATGATACCAAATAGCTTTAGTTGAGTACAATGCAATGTTGGCATAGTTCACTCGGCAACTGTCAGAGGCAGCACTGTGCCAGCAATGAGCGGATGTGAAGACTTCAAGTCTCTTTGAGCCGACGGTGGCGCATCGAATTTCAAAGGGGACGTCAATGTAATTTTACAACTCGAATCGAAACTAAACAGCGCGCCAATTTTAAAATTTGCTGTCATTTCCTCCCATTGTGTGCCAGATTTGCGACAGTAGTATAGATTTGTACATTCTAGAGCAACCGGTTTTTTTTTTACCTCGGTGAGGTCAAAAAAACGGTTGCCCTTGAATTGTAGTGCTGCAGACTTTTTATCACATGCTGAAAAATAAATGAAATGAAATTCTAGAAATTTGTTCAAATTGGTCCAAGTAAATTGAAAGATGCAGCTAACGTTCGATTAATGAGTTAATTAAACAAAAATGAGTTTGAAAAAAATTCTATGGAACCTCATTTTGTCAATTTTTCAGCGGAAATAAAAGAAAAGATATTGTCCATTTGCTAATTTATTTCTTCATATAAGCTTTCATCGACGGCACATTGCGAATACGAGGGCTGCTCCATATATTTCTAGAATTGGCAATATTTAGTGTTGTCCGATACAAACCATTGTCATATTCGTTAAGTTTAACATTTGGTAGCATAAACGATCTCAGAACGTTCTGTCATACGCGCGCTAGGGGATAACCATGAATTGCAGATCGAATAATTTATAATAATAAACGCTATTTCTCTCTATTTTTCACTAATTCTGCTAGTATTTCTACTAGTTTGTTCTAATACTGCTAGTTTTTGCTAATTTTTCTAGTACGTCAAAAATATTGCATACGTCAGATTGACTGCATGATCGAATAACCGAAATGTCTTTACGTAAATGTTTCAAGTTGACACTTTCAACGTGTATATTTGAAG